TTGATTTGACATTTTGCGAATAGTGATAAAAAACAATTAATTCAGTAGTTGACTATGTTCACCGTCAAATTATTCACTTGTAGTGAATCTGAAAAACCTCCAAAGGATTAACTCTTGATTTCACAATCAACAAGTCGTAATAGCATAGAGGTCCAAATGATGATAAAATATTTTGAGTTCACAATTGGTGGAAATTGATATGCGACATAGCATTATCTATTCTAGCATAGACAATTGAAAGTTGACTATGCTAGAATTCACTGATTAATAGTTTGAGAATCACAATGAAAAGAAATATTTTTTTGTCAATATGAGTAGCATGATAGATACATCAGATATGTTAACTTTTAGTCTATTCTTTTCTTTTCAAGAAGTCACACAATTATTACTATATGATAGATTACGAAGTATTTGATTCATTTTATCATCACGGTTGGATTTTCCAAACTCCAATTTTTTCCCACGTGTAGATATTCAAATCTCACTAGGCAAGATAATCTTAGCATAGTTACATTGCAAGGTTTATCATACAATAATGATTTTTGTCCAACTACTTTCCTCGGAAACAATTGTAAAGTTCACATAAGTTCTAAGGAAAAAGAAAAAAAACGTTAGCTCATTGTTAGATTAAAATTCAAAATAAAGTAAAGAGAAAATTCAACTTTGAACATATCAACCCTCTCAGAATATTGCAATCATGAAATTGCTAAAGAGTTTGTAGATTGTAAAACACAAGGGAAATTGTTAAGATAGATGTGGCTAAAACTAGCTATATGAAACTTTATTCAAAAAATACATTAATCCTTGTCAGTTATTTCTTAATAAAATTTGGATCTACTTACTAAAGAAGATCACACCCCAATCCTAAATTTGAGATATGTCTCAAACTCGAAGTTCAGAATAAATGAAGTCATGAGGTAGTGTTCGATTTGAGCGAAGAAATACTAATATAGGTAAATATCATTCTGGTTTGATAGAATCCTTTGATGCTACAGGAAAATTGAATCACAAACCTCTACGATGAAACTGGATGTCGATAGCAACTTTGCATGTAGTAGTAATGACCAAGCATGACGAGGATGAATTAGATGAGAAATGCTAGAGATGGTGTCATACCTTCGATCCTTGATTTCATTGGTTTTTTATCCTCAACTCGATGCATCAACACGATGAGTAGCTCAAACGGAAAAAGTTCATAAGAACAAAGACACCACATCTATATTTATGGTCACAAGAATAATAAAGTGATCAATGGGATATAGATGACTTCACAACAGTCTCATAATTTGAAAAGTTCTAGGATCTATCTCATCAATATTTGATGTATTATGACCACACATTTTTTGGAGCAGACCCATCTCATTATCAGGATATGTTGGTTTGTGGAGGTTTTAACTCGAGATCATCCAATACTCACATAAAAATGATATGCTTCGATCTAGTACACTAATTTACCTTCATCCACATACCCTCTTACTTTTGTATATTACTGGCCTCTCGCGCCATATATTGCCGAGCTCCGATTTCCTTCAGCACCACCTACTGCTCGTCCGCCCTGCGTCAGAATGCTTCACTAGACTTCGCCTTAGCCCCACAATCTAGCCCAACTTAATTTTATCAGCACGTGTGGGGCGGGTAACTTCGACCCTTGCATTTGCGATCGGAAGGTTTGGGCCCCCGGGGGGCTGTCGTCGAATTAACGAAAAGGGGGCCAGTACTTAGAGCAGCAGGTTGGCAGCAGGTTGCGAGAAAGGAACGAAGGAACAAACTGCGGGACGAAACGGGAGGGGCAGCACGAGGGTAATGGGGCCTATAAGATGGGGAGGTAAGAGATGACGATAAGAGAGAGAGATGGATAAAAAGGAGTCAGTGATGCGATGCGGCAGCGCATCAATTGTGAGGAGGGAGGGAGTGATGGGCTGGGAGAAGGTCTGGGGACTAGGCAGCAGTGCATTCTCCTTTCCCTCCACTGTCTGCGGTGGGCAGAGGCTGTCTGAGTGCTAGAGGAGAATGAGGTACTCATTCGGGTGCTCGCACGCTTTTCCATATAGAGAGAGAAAGTCAGTGCGTGCGCCAGATGGACAGAGCAGGTTAGTTTCACAGATCTTTCCTTCCCGTGCCCTTCCTCCCTGTGCCTGAGTTTGACTGGCTTTTGGAGTGCACTCGCTCCCAGTGTTGATTCCTTCTTTTTCTGGCTTGAGTCGAGCGAGTGTCGGAATCAGTCGGATTAACCTCGTCCTTTACCTTTTTCCAGCAGCTCCCCCGGCAGCGCGATTTATTGATCGAGCTCTTTTATTCTCGTAATCTTGACTGTCTGCCTGCTCTCGCGAACCTTTCACGTTAAAGACCTGAGATTGAGTAAATAACCGTAAGCTTGTCTGTCTCCCCCTGCCCTCCTCCTTCCTCCTTTACTTCCTCTCCTAGGTCCATCCGTCGGCGATGGCTATATTGTTGGCTGGCTGGATGGCTGGCGAGTAGCTACCTAGCTGCTGCTGCAGGAGCAGCAGCAGCGGCAGCATGTAAGCGAGCAAGCAACTCTCAACATCGTACAAGTTGTGAGGGCAAATATGGAGGTACTTTTCTGCTTCTCGATGCTACCACATTCACATGAAGCATGCGCTGCTCTTACCTCCTGCAGCAGCAGCTGCTGCAGCACCCATCCCATCCCATGCTGCTGCTGCTGCTGCTGCTGCGGTTCTCTTCTGCTGTGCCCGTATCTGACTGACTGTGGCCTTTTCCTCCCTCCTTCGGCCTGAAATTGACCGTCCCTCGGACCTCAGCAGCACATTGTGCTCCTCCGAAGTCCGCACCCTCTCTCTCTCTCTCTCTTTCTTTCTCTCTCTCCCTCTCTTTCTCTCTCTCTCACAAACATTATCTCTTTCATCATCTGCGCTAATCATCCCTCTCTTTTCTTCCTCCACGCTCAAATCTGCCTGACATAATTACCTTACCTCAGCGCAGTGGCGCACCACCACCTCGTCCTCCACCTTACGCTTCTCCCTCCTGGGCTGCCTGTGATGACTGTGCGGCTGCTGCCACTGCCACTGCTGCAGCATCCGCCCGCCCGCCCGCCAGAGCGAGCGAGATTCACCAGTAGGTCATGTTCACGGCTCGCTTACGATGCTGCTAATAAATACAGCAACCATTGCTGTAACCACCGTCTGCGTTTGAGGCATACAAAACATGGAAATACCGGATATGTCCTTGTCCGCATGAGCTAGTGAGCGTCCTTCCTTCCTCCCTCTGTTCCTGCTGCTCACGTGAACGGACGACGCCAACTCTGACCTTCAAGGAGAAAGAATCAACTCTGTTCTCCTGTTAATGCACCACGAGGTCATTCTTCATCCATTATTGACTCGATAACCTTGTTGTCCCGAAATTCCCTTCCCTCTCCTCCCTCCCCCTCACCTTCCCTTACCTCACCCTCACATTCACCTCGCCCTTCGAGCCCTCATGTTGTCGTCACTGCCCTCTTACGTACACGCCTTCACTTCCCTCAACACCTCTTATTGATTCTGGCACCTCTACCGAAAAGCACAGCCTCCGCATTGCTGCAGCTACTACTGCAGCTTAGTTATGCCTCCCCGATGCCTAAGTTCGCCACAAGTTCCCACAACACACAATCTCTCTTCCCCTCTCTCTCTCTCTCTCTCTCTCTCTCTATGTCTCAACTTCGCCCCCTCCCGCCCACTTATTCCCATGGCTTCACCGAGTAAACAATCCGTTCCCCATTCCATCTTTGAGCTTGTGACCGGATGATGACTACAACGCTACGCAGCTGCCAGTACTTTGCTTGGCATCAGGCGGCAACTTCTTCGGCCTGGCCCAGAATATTCATCCGGCACTCGAAATGAATCGCTTCCCACTTATTGGCACTTCAATGATGGACGCCGGTTCATCTCGCAAACCGGACCTGCGTCCGGCCACGGCCTTCCTTCCACGTTGGACGTATCGTCCCATTGTGCAGGATCAGATCACCAAAATCCCAATGTTTCCTGCTCATTTGCTTCCATGGCTGTGTTTGTACCTCCTATACTGCTCATTTCCATTCAGGCTTGTCCACTACGCTGCTTCTCTTCTCGGTTGTGCTTACTTTGCCACCCACTCTAAAAGGGGATATTAGGTGACTGTCTGTACTTGGAATCCCTCTAATTGGTTCACATCTAAGCCCCAGATCCACGGACTCTTCTCTCCAGCAGATGCCTCTGGTCACTTCGAGTTCACGAACGTAATGTCTGTGGCTGTGACTCGGTGGATGCAGAGAAAGATGACGGCATTGCACCGTTCAATGGGATTTTCCTTGAAGGCCTCGAGAACCCATTAATGCTACTCTCGGTAGGTTGACACCTTTCGGGAATTAATGTCACTTCCCCACAGCCATGTTTAAAGTGCGCTTCCACCACAGGATTTCATCGAACACATAGTTTTCCACCTCACTGGTGATCCTCATGCATCAGGGCTCCTTCCGTGACCTCAGGGACTGAGGCTCGTCAGACAACGGATAGAGGGGAGCTATGTTTCGTGGGAAGGTGAATTTTCAAAGCTTGGGCCTTGAGGCTCGTCGGAGGTTACAAGAAGCTACCGTCGGGGGCTGACTAGAGATGTACGGCAAGGGCGTGCACTGCTTTACGAGAGAAGCTATCCTCGGATGGTAGGAAAGGTGAATGCATGCTCGCATGCAGTGCACGTGAAGTGCCGGCACATGCGAAACATTGCATTTTGATAGCTACTTTCGGGACACATGCACATAATTATTATGGAGTGTTAGTATAATTTCTAGGTCTGAGACCTATCGACGAGGGAAACGGCAAGACGACCGGGCCTGATCCCCGAGACCGACTCTCCTCGCGACTGTTTAGACCCACGTGGTACAGTGGAAAAGTTCATTCGTCATCAGCAGTAATATATCATCCACCTCATCCCATTGCTTCGACAAAGTCGGGCGAGAGATCTCGCACCCCACGCGTGCAACATCCACCATGGCGACCGAGTCGCTTGCTGATGCCAATTTTATGCAAATATTATACAGAAACTTAACACCTTACAACAGTGAACAAGACTAGGAGACTTCAGCCCTGTCCCAAAAGTGCTAAGACCCGACATTATAAGTCATGGTAAAAATCTATGCCTGCCCGTGATATTTATCTTTCATGTTCTCTTCCTTTTGAGAACTTAAACTATCACAGAGATATTGTCTACAATTTCAATAAACTAGGTTAAATCAATAAGGAGTGATTACTGGCACATATATGGAGTGAGGACAAAACTACTGGACGACACCGGCATCTTCGGAGTCGATTTCTGAATCTACCCTGTTTACTATACAAGAATAGGAGGCACAAACCACTGAAACAACCAATCTGAGGAGAAAATTTATGTACACTCGACTCAAATAAATGGATCAAACCTACTCACCAGTAACTTGGACAATAAATGGGATGACATGATGGTACAAAGGCTGGCTGCTCACCCTACTGTTCAAATCGACACAGACCCAAATGTGACCTGGCTAGGGCTTAGGCGCGTTCAGCCGAAGGTAAGTCACCTGCCGTTGATTGAAATAGATATCCGGCACAGAGAAATGACCCGACAAGCCAGAGCTGTTGTCATAAGACTGCATCACGACGAAGGAGCACGCGTGTTCTAAAATGGTTAGTGAACCTCGGTGTGAAAGACAACCTTGTGTAGTTCGTAATATCGCAAATTATGAAATGACTTCGTCTCTACGAATTACTTGATGAGACTGGTGGACTTTTTCAGTTCACTGCGGAAGAATCAGCACACAGGTATGGCACAGGGCGAGAGAATTTTCTACCTGACACCAGCAAAGGAGATAGCGCTCCACAGTACACCCGGCTGTCTTGCACCACTGTAAGCCCGGTACTGAACTTCCAGGTACCTATGATGTGCTGTCAACAATGGGGAAGAGAAGAATCTTATTCATTAAATAGTACGACTGAAAGATGTAATGAATCAGACACGGATAACGTTCACGCAATATCACGTCCTCCCCACGAGCTTCGTAACATGGGTTGACAATGTAGGTTCAGGAGAGACTAAGGGTCAACGGGAACAAAGTTTCTCCCCTCGACACAAACTGTATCCAGCTAGAAAGTATTCATTCAACTCTCGCCATGCACAAGAAAAACTCCTGCATTTAGCTGAACGTTCTATACGGATAGAGTACAAGACAAAGTTCTTGAAAATTTCCATCTACATTACCACCAAGCCCTCTCGTACCCCCGCTGAAATCACTAACTGTAGGAAGCTAGAAACTCACCCGGATTAACTGCAGGATCCATGCAGAGTACTCCATCAGAGTCGCATGATCCACAATGAAAGCCATCTCCACTGGTGTTCCAAAGAGCAATATTATGGGGAGGCAAGCCCTGATGAACATGTGGCAGACCATGCGGTCGTCCAGCATGATTTTGCAGAGGTCTCACCCCGTTATGAAATTGAGGAGGTAACTGAGCAAGTAGTGAACTTGGCAACCACTTGCATGACTGCAAAGAAGGCTGCCTCGACCTGATATGCCCAAGTGATCACCACATTCAGAAGTAAACAACGAAGATAAAGCATACATAAAGCTTCGGTACAATCGTCATTTGGATATCCTTTTGAAATGGATGCAATAGTTATCGAACAATATAATCGACTTACAGGAACCAACAGGCATCCACCGCTTCGAACTGAACGCACACACTGGTTTATGACAAGCACCACGGTTTCCAAGAAAGGCTACGCTCAAGTAAAAGCTGAAGTATTTGATCATGAAAGGAGAAAAATGTGAATCAAAATTGATCCGTACCTCCAATGTGACCAGATCCTAGTGAGCAGATCGTCAGGGATATTGAAGAGGTTTCCATCTATTAGCTCAGCTGGAATTCGAGATCCTTGTCCACTAGCTTTAAGAATGGCCACCAATTCGTGCATATCAGAGTCTAGAATGGGCGGAAAAATCATCTCTGACTCCAAGTCAGGTAGTGAAGGCACCTCGCTTGCCTTGGTGGATTCGGTAGGTTGGGAGCCGCCAGATTCTGTAACACATGTTGGAATCCTTCCTTCAGTTTACAGATGGGAAGTATAGGTGACCTTCAGTGCTCATTTAGGATGTCAAAGCAGAGTTCAAATCGACAAACTTGACGAATTTCCTTGCTTTCTCACTATGAGACAAAGTTAAGCCTCACCTGTTGACGCGAACCAGCAAACGTGTCCAATGCAAAGCTCTTGCAGTGAAGTTGGAGTCTTCTTTGGAACGGCCCATCCTTTGTTCAACGCTTCCACCGTGACTCCGCATGCCCTTCGAATTGCAAAGGTTCAAACTAGTAAGTGAATACTCAAATAAGAGAACTGTGTCAGATGCTAGAAACATTTAGCGCGGGCTACAATGGCTACATCTTAGCTGCCGCGTATGCGGGTCTCGGAGATCAGTTCCATCATCTCCTCATTTCCTACAAGATTGAGACTTCCCCATGATCCGGCACGCTTGCCAAGAATAACTCAACCAATGAAGGGGACTGGATATTAGTCCGCTAAAGTTCTAAGAACTAGCACATACAGAACTTAATTTCTCCAGGTACTTCCACTCTCCAACATATAGGGAAAAGATTCAAGCTGGACGGTTCTTGTAAATGATGATCGTAACAAGACATGCTAAAATTAAAAGTCAGATCTCGATACCTTCTTAAAGCTTCTGCTACAGCAATAGAGGCCACTGATGTGCTTGATGACGTCCCTTGGACAACTACATCAGAAACTCCAACTGACTGGACCCAACCAACTCTTCGAACAAGGCCCCACCTGCCTTGCCCGCCTAACGAGGGCACCCGCTGTTGAACTCTATAACCTGCCAGGGAGGGCATAACTGATCCTGGGGAATTCAGGTTAACGGCTGCAGGTATGCATGAAAACTCGTCGGGAGAAACTGCAGAGGCAGTAGCATCGACATCTACAAACTGGAATATCTCCCAACGTGACGGTCGTACACGCGTTGCGAAAACCCTACCACTGGGCTCAACACTCACATACCGTCTGCACATTACATACATAATTCAGTCAACAGTTTCGGCATTTGCACTATAGAGGGCGTGAAAGCATGACATTTTGAATCTTCACATAGACCCTTTCCGAATGATGGCAGACTCAGAGAATGATATGCTCAATAGATACACATGATGTGAGATTTCAATTAAAAAACGCTTGACAAGTTTTCAAGCAACAGAAGAAGGACAATATGCAACAAACATGACACTACAGGCTCAAAAGGATCATAGTCTAAGAAAAGAAGGGCTGAGGAGCGGGTTAATTGGCACATGACATCGTTCGTCCGTAACGCGCTGCACTAATACAAGACTTGAGTCATTTCTTACTGCTTTCCATGGATTCGGCGTGTTGTGCGGATGGTAAAACCAACGATCCCAGAAAATGAGCATATGTTCTCATCCATGGTATCCAAGCAAGTTCCTGAAACGGGTACGATCTCGAACAGAGATGCTGTGGCTGGAAAATGTACAGCGGGTGCACCAGACTGCAAACAGAGCATTAATATTTAACTTTAGTACGACTGGGACGAAAATAGAGCTTCATGAAGCCACATGGCATAAGCTTATTGTTTCTTATTTGCTCATTCAGAAGTCGTAGACACAAGCAGACACTATGACGAACGAACCTCATCTTCATACAGAAAGCTCGAGGAAAATATATTTACAACTAAATTATTAAATTTGTCATGGATGGTGGTAATCACTAGAAACTGTGCGTACTTATTGACATAGGTTGAAAAAAATGCCTTTGAACAGTTAAATATCAGAGGTATCAATTCAAACGTATTATCTACAAAGTTAATAGAATAAAATTAGAGAACTACCTGTATAATCTGTCCCTTGGAGTCCACTGATAAGTATTCTTGCGCTCCACCCTTCGCTACTGGTAAGGCTACCAACGTGTACAATGAGTCACCATGATATCTCAGCTGCCAAGCACCCACTTCCCTCATTTTCTCTTTCGTGTAAGGCAGACAGGAGCACAAACCCCTTTGCAGCCTGTGTTGCTGTTCGTTGTGCTCGAGTTGAATCGCTAAGGAAGGGTCGTAGGCCAAATATCCCCCATGTATGCTTCGAATGAGGACCCGCGAACCATTTGCTAGAGTCAACCCAAAGGCCTCCCACTGCTTCTTGTCAGATTTGTCGCAGACAATCTGGCCCGAATCCGTCGCACTTACATACTTCCGGTTTCTCGTCCCAGTCCCGGATTCACGAGAGTAGGGACGGATGCTGACCGTCGGGCAACTTTTGCGATACTGGACTGATACTTCAAACTTTTCCATGCCACGTACTTGATCAACAGGGGTTGTGAAGACGATACCATCAGGCTCTGCACTGAGCTGGAATCCAAAGCACATAGTATGTATCACCCATTTTTGAAAAAATCGGAGAGATTATGAGCAATCAAAACATGCTTGACTCGGTTAAACCTCTGTAGAATGCAGGATCTGCGGAGTACCTCTCGGTTGAGAAATAGCCACCTAACATCTATGAACGTACGATCAATGATAAGCGACAAGCAAACCGAGACGCACCAACATATGTGCACAGCACAGACTCCGTGTCCGAGGGCTAAACTCAAATTGCAAACAAATCTCGGACGACCATTTCCTCTCAACAACAATCACAAACGCCGCAAACCTTAACGAGTACAGGATAGCCTAATCCTGCAAAAGAACTAAAGAGTTTTCAAGAGATTTCTAACCGCAAACTTTACATACCATGCGTTTTCCGTCTGCGGTGCGTATTGTGCAGACAGAACCATCCAACGGTTGGTCATATTTCAAGGTAGTAGTAGGACCAATTTTTTCCTGTTCTTCAAAGCGCCTGGACCTCAGATCTAAATTAGACCTCAAAGAGTCGACTGGTAAGCGAGAACCGTGCTTTGTCCTGGAAGAGCGAACTGGTATCAACGATGGAAACTTGAGGTCCAGCAAGAACTCCTCACAACAGCAGGCAGCCTGCAAAGTCCGTTCTCAAACACCTCAGCAACCACACGTGCCAGGTACGATTACCAATCACAGCTGAGGTGCTACAGCTTGGGAACAGAGGAACTGAAGAACATTGTACAGGGTCGTCGTGGCTTGACACAAGTTCATAACCAGATTTTTGCATATATATAACAAACAAACAAGGGAATACAACCTCTACGTGATGACTTACCTCTGCGTGGGCAGATATAACTGTTGTGGATCCACATAAATATTTTCCTGTGTGGGCTTGTAGCGTCACTCGGACTGAGGCAGAGATGGTCCTACACTTTTCCAGAAAATGGATTCTCTTCAGCATGTCGTAGCAACGGTGTTCATACATATACATATCACACGAGCAAGTCAAGAGTAGGCATACACTTGATGGAACAGCCCAGCCCCGTTGAAACTCACCGTGTTGACTGAAGCGGCGTCTCTTTCAGAGCCTCCTCAATCAAAGTAAAATGCTCCCACTTTTGTGGCCTCTGTGTCCCACCCCATAATCGTCCTCTGGAATCAGCAGTCAGGTAGCCCGTGTCACAGCTTCCTCGGATTCTAACCCCTGTATTCATCGAAGAGGCAGGTCCACATACCATACACATCAGAATCTTAGATAGTGGTGTTTTGCCAGTACACAATCCGATGTGCTCACACGCAAGTCCACGTCCTTCTAGTTCTCTCTTCAGTTACCCACAACGTTCTTTCAAAAGGTTTAAGGTTTATGAGTTTAATGCTGGAACTGGAAATGAGATGATGTTTTTCCCGTTCCTTAAGTTGAGATTCACATTAATCATGTCTTTGAGATCTCACGCCTGCATACAGTGCTTGAAATAGCTCCATTCAGATTAGCGATCAACAGATATAATTTCGTATTTGGACGGGTGTATGATGGTAAATTTCGTAGACAGGACTCCCAATTATACAGGCATGTCTGTATAATTGGGAGGCTGCCCTTATCTACCCCCACAATGCTAACAGGCTAAACAGGAGTCGATGGTCATTGGCTTCAATGATGAAAAGCAATGCTTCCGACTAATTTCTAAGAGTCCGTCATCCAACCGACATAAACCAACCGTATTTCCAACCAAAAAAAAACATTATGCGTTGCGGCCATTCCTCAACGAGTTGTTGTAAGTCTCTTCGAATCGGACTTCCTGCTCTCAGTAGTTTTTCAGAATTTCTCATACCTGCTGGCATACCTTGGCTTCCTGTAATGCTGCCTGTCAAAGATATTCAATTCCGAAGACTTCTAGTGCACGAATGAGAACCTAAATGCGAGTCTTTGCAATAAATTCAGTTCCAAATGTGGCTGGGGAAGGTCCAAGAAAAGGTCGAACTTACTTCCATGCTCGTCAAACTCCAACCGGAATTGCGAGTTCGCTACGTTCGAAGGAGACTCGGTAACAAAGACACTGGATTCGTGCAGAGAGAGAAACCACTCATTTCCGCGCCGGGAACCCAATTCACCAACAGAATTGGGAGGATCTTCGACATCATGTAGACCATTCAGTAGCCCGAAATCTTCCACAGGGTTTTGCTTCACCGGGACAGGATCACTGCGGCCGCCTTCCACCGTCCTCGGCACCACTTGTAGCAAGTAGGACCCATCAACGCATGGCCGAAGGACAATTCTGGAGCTATCATCCTCGCATCTCGAGAACCTCGCCCTCTCCCATTCGCCGGGCACCACGGCCAGCCACTGGTGACACCAAGACCTCACTCTGTAGCACGCGATGGGGGTTGTTGCAGCTAATCTGCTTCCAACTGGCTCTGCCATAGAGTTCACACAGAAACCTCCCTTGCCCTCGGTCACGTCAACCGCATCACGGCCAATGACCCGGCAGGGCAGCGCCTAGAGACCCCGCCGCTGGCAAGTATCCAGAGAGTGCCCCACAGTCCAATGCATGAGTCTGAATTCCGAAATTGGTATTCCTCGTAGAGCCGAAAACCGCAACAAGAACGCAACCTCCGGAGCAGAAGCAACAACGACAACTGCTGCAAACTCTACAGGCCAAAGACCTCCTTCACAGAAATTCGTGCGAGGAGAGAGGAGTGGGGAGAGGACGAATCATGTGAGTCAGGCGAAGTCAGCCTCCGGAGTCCGGAAACTAGCAGTTCATCGCGTAGAGTTCGAGGCAGTGGACGCAAGATGTGATTATCAAGGCGACCGATCTCCGGAATTGGAATTCCGCTACAACTCCTGCTGGCCAGAAATCAAAGTCTCGTTTGCGCCATCTGCACCGAGCGAGATGAGACGCAAGAAGATGATGCGCCGGTGATGCACCTCGCCTTTCCTCCACCAATTCGCACGACCACGCTAGAGCTCGGGAACTCACCATACGTTTACAGATTCGGGAGATTCCGCCCACGTCTTGCCCTACGTCCTCTTGTCATACATGAAGTCATGACCGGCCAGAATCGACGATCCTCGGAATCGGAGGTGGGCATACAAATCCTCAAACATCTCACGCTCACTCCCTCCCTCGCTCGCTCGCTCGCCTGCCTTGACGCTAGCGCCAAACTCCACACACTTGAGCGCTACCGTGCCCCATCTCCAGCCCCCGTGGCCTTTTCCGCTGCTCTCCTGCCAGTCCCAAGTTGCTGCGCCGTCCCCCGCTCGCTTTACTGGAACTCTTCATGACCCGTGGATCAAGCGGCCAAGGAGACCGAATCCGACTGATCCCCATTTTGTCTCTTGTGAGCACCCATGGGTTCGAGTCCAACCCATCGGTGAGGTTTGACCATCATTTCACCTTGAGGTCCAACCGTTGGACCTCAAGGTGAAATGAAGAGTACAACATTCTATCTTGGTAGTATTAGCCATCTCCACCCCGTTCTCCTACTTATTTGATCCTACATTACTTTTGATGTTAAGCCTCGTCTCCACTGTTGATAAGATATCTTGCATGCAAGCTTAGGGATGGCATGGATAGTGCTACTGGATAATGGCTTTCTCACTTGCCTCATCTTCGTTTGCAACAATTGTAAGTGAAATTCATGTTGCACATTCTCATGACAACTTATACATGCTTAACATGTCAATACGATGCGATGTGTCACTATGGCGAGACAGCGTGTATAGCCAACAAATACGAAGAGAGGTAAATATGACTTTGTAATGGATTCGTGTTAGTGCAAACTTGTACATCGTTTTAGTTCGAAGTACTAGGTCACTCTTGTATATTCTATTTTTGTCATAGATTCTACTCAAAATCGGGAAACCAAAAGATGCTATTTGGGATAAGTTAAAAACTTGATAGCGGGTTTGAAACTAAAATTGAAGAATACTCCGGTTACGAAGACGCTGGTGGTGGTAACAGTTATGAATTTGATAGCGTTTCCGAGAGAATCCCCATTATGAAGAGTATATCTTTAGGCCAAGGAGCTTTTTGAAGATGGTAGCATCTACGAATGATAACATAAGGGTTTAGGGTAACATGTTAGTTGGACCTCCAAATGTTGTATAGTACATTCGGTATTAAACTGTATTGTACTGTATTATACTACGCAGTCCGCAAAAAATCCAATTAAACAGGTCTATAGTACTGATTTATTTATGAACAAGGTTGTCAATCAATATCGCGCTCACCTTGATAAGGATTGGAGCACGTACATGATCGACAAGGAGAAGAACAAACATCGTAACTTATACGTAACACCCGAGCCTATAAGATGAGACCCTTGACACACATTATAAAAGTACAGTCTTCAACGAGACATGAGATTGCTTGAAGTGTAGTTGCGTCAATTGTGCGATGATTTCGTGATGACATTTTTTGAATACTACATTAGTTGAAAGCAAATTTTTCATCATGAAATGGAATAAAGAGTATTGTTTGACAAGCCTCTCCCACACACTTTGTTTGACATCTTGCAATCCTTTTTAATAAAAGAAAATGCAAACAATAATCCATTGGCATCATTAAATCTATTAACCATCAAACACATCAAATTATTATATTTAAACAGATTTTAGAATTTGATAGAGATATTTTTTTAAGGAGGTCATCCGTTTTACAAAACCTTTCTCTTTTAACTTGTAAAAAAGTTTCGTAATGGGGGCACAAACCCGAAGACGATTCATCATATTTTTAACAAATCATGATCATATCATCTTGAATTTCTTCCTTGGCACAAATCTACTTTTAGGTTTTTAGATCTTTCTTGATTCACATTTCAACTTTATGCTTGATATAAGTTCATTGAAGATGAAACATCATTTTCCTGAAAAGAAGATTAGTCACCAAATCAATATATCTAATGATCTTTTTATCACAATGAAATAACACTTGATATAAATTCTAAAAAAACTTGAATAAAAAATGAATTTTCTTTTCTTTACTGAATTTTTCATCAAATTTCTATAAGTTTATAAAAATATTTTTAACATATCAATGTGATTATGTACCTTCATTCCATTATAATTTTTGTAACACCTCATCATTTTCAAACAAGTAAAAAACAAATTCACAATTTGTTTTATGATGTTTTGTTGAAATTCATAAAAAAAGTTATTCTAGTCTAATTGAACACCTTCAATTGCTTATGACACAATAATCTTAATATTAAAAAAGTGTTTTTATAACTAATTCTTGCATCTTATTTCAAATTTTTTTCTAACAATACAAATTCATTTTTTTATAGCAATTTTTCAAAATTATCAATTTTAAACATGACATTAATATGATGATTCTTGCAATTTTTGTGAGTTTTTCAATTCTACACTAGTAAATTTTTATGATATTATCTTGTTTCATATGCTATCATTTATTAATTTAGATTTCAAATTAAACATCAAATTTTCAATCAATAAAATTATACAAAAAAAAACAATTATTATCAATTATTTAATAAATAAAATTATTAAAACTTAAATAATAACCAAATATAAATTTCATCCAAATATTTTAAAATATTGCACAAATTATTATGTCAAAATGAGATGTTTTACTTATTTTCAATTATCATTATAATGATCAAAAAATTTAAAACAACGATTGTCAAACTGTCACTGATCTTGCTACTTTTGTTTTTTCTTAAATCACATTAGTATCATCAACCATCAAATTGAATGATGTCATTAGTGATTAATCTTCACTTGGTGTCAAATCAAAAAGCTTGACTAACAAAAATGTTGATCGCATTGATTGCAAAGTTTATGGTTGCTTTAAGTTTATTGGTTTATCATATTATTGTCATTAATCATCAAATTTAATGATGTTAGTCTAAGTTATCTCCACTTGTTATCAATTCAAGAAGCTTGACTTTCACATTTTTTGATATCATTGAATGCAAAATGTTTGATGTAATCATTATCAATTGCCATCAAACATAAAAAACAAGATATAAAGCTAATATATTTTTTATGATGTCAATTTTTCACTATTCATCACCATTAGTATCAAATAAAAAATTTTCTTGATTAAAATTTTCAAACTTTTTTTTCATTCAAGATAGAGGGCTTATTGTAATTATTAGAATTCTTCTCATCACTTGTGATTTAGTTTGAATAATTAAAATATTACAAATAACACTATTCATCAACAAAAATAATTGGAATGAGTCAACTTGTAAGATCTTTAAGCAAAATTATTTTTCACCCATATTTCTTGAATATAAATTATTTCATTGCAAATATTAAAAAATTCATACTAAAAATCATTTGTTGTCAAATTTTTTGCATTTCATGATGATTTGTGATTTGTAAAATGCATCATTCATAATGACATGCAATCCTAAGATATCAACACATAATGTAGATATATATCTTCATATACAAATAGAAAGATTAATTTCTTGTCTAGCTGAATAAAAACAATAAAACCAACAATTAATCATTTTTATTACATAAATATTGAAGTTAAAATCCATAATCTTGAATATAATATTTTATTTTCAATCTACATTCAATGTCATTTGTTGTTATTATTTTTCCACTTTAAATATTTTAATCATGTTATAAGTTTAAACATTACATCTCTTTCAATTTTATCATCATTATGAATTTCAAAAAACAATACAATTGTGATCATTTAAGATGTTTAAAATTGTCATTTTAATATGAAACTTTTTCTTATACTATACTTATCACATCGTGCTTATTCATAGAAGAATAATGTTGATGCAACAATTTTGATTTAGTTCAAAAAGTATTTTGTTCAATATTGGATAATGAATTGAATATGAAACATTCATTTTTTCCATACTCTTCACATATCAATTTGTGAAAAGAAAGATTTCTGTGTTTTGAATAAGGATTTGTAATTGGATTTATAGCAAATGGCGTAGTATAATATTTCATAATACTTTAGAAAACCATATATACAATACAACCTTATGAAATCCACTTCATTTGTAGATTTTACACTCATTCACAATCTCTTTTGCTCTGATGAATATCCTCGTCATGCATGACATCAACGTACTTAAATATGTTTACACGATCAAGTTTATTAATACTATCACCATCAATATATTCAAGCTCATGAATAGATTCTCTTAAAATTGAATTTCATATCCGCTTCAAATTGAACTTCAAATTTGAAGTTCGACTTATTTCAAATTGAAGGGAATGAAGATCTTGATATTGATCTTGTGCTTGTTCAATTGAACTTGTGAATGATTATAAACGCATTTGGCTGTTTTATGATTACACTCATTTTCATTTGCATTCATCCATGTTTGATCGTATTGGATTATTGTGCAATGCAGATAGAGTATCTTTGATATTGCCGCAGTATTAATCGTGAGATAAGATCCATAATTCAGACTGATTGAAGTTGTTGTCGATGAAATCATCATCTTCGTACTTTGAACGCATAATGAATGTGGCAAACTTGCTAAAGAATTTTTGTCTAATTTTGTCATTGTAATTTGTGAGATGATTGAATGAGTCTTTTGACTGCTGATTGATTAAAAACTTTCCCAATTGCAATAACTTCTAGCTGAAACTTTGTCACGATCCTAGTGCGCATGAGTATGAATCATAAATCAATCACAAATATTAGAGCATGGACATTGGTATAAATTATTGAGAAGCAATGATGAATCACCATCATAATCTATTTTGAATCAATTTCAATCAAATCCAAAGCATACATGACAACAATATGGACAATCTTTATGTGAAACTTGATTGCCACAAAAAATTCATACACAACAAAAAATGTCACTTTTTTTTTATCCAACTATATTTACTATATACAAATGGTTAGAAATAGTGCTTTCATCATATATACACATTTTCAATAAGATTGTTGTATGACCAATATTTTCTATTTTTTGCATATATCAATGTCATAATAAGCATTACAATTATTTCATGGCAATGATGCATATATCGATTTCAACTTTTTGGCAACAAATATAATAAACATAACTATGATGTTTTAAACTGTATACTCATTGCATATATGAACTTTCAATGAGATTGTTTTGTAATCAAAGCTTTTAATTTATTGCATATATCAATGTCATAATTGATGTTAGAACTTTTGCATAGAAACAATGCACATGCCAATTTGACTGTGTTGGCATGTTAAGAGTCGTGATATATAGTAAAACATTTGATCTTTGTAAAGAGTATGGGCAAGTAC